GTAGAAAGATGATTACTTACATTGAAAATAAAAATATCAGTGCAATTTGTAGTTATATATATCATAGATAATTTACTTTCTATTGAGTATACAGAAAACTTTAATGAAGAAGATTCAATTTCTTGAAGAATGAAAAAAATTTACTTCATAAACTGGAGAGTTCTTGCATCTATGAAGAAAGAAATTGCCTTTGTCTAATTTGCGTATTGAATTTAAGGGAAACTTTTTTTTGTTATTCATTGATTTCTTTTAACAGCTAATAAATGAAGTTTGAAAAACCTCCATTGAAAACAATTTCCTCTTGAAATTAATGTAGCTCTGTTGGATATCGTCAAGTCTTCTTCTGTGTTCTTCAGCATGTTCAAATGGATTATTAATGAACAGGACTTCTGAATACTGTTTGATTATAACGGCTTGAATATTGATATTTGGACTCAGACTAGTTTTAACGTGGGATTAATTAATTCTCTAACTGTAAGTGTTAATTAGTGTTCACAGTGGTAATTAGCCTAATCAGTGTTAATTGAGCGAACAGAAGGCTGGTATTGTCTGATAAATATCAATAAACACCTAAGGCGTTTATTTATTTTTCTACTTTATACCTTTGTTTTGGTCTATTAATACCTTTATTTCGTGATTTATTGAAAGTGCGGATAGTCAATATGTTTGCAAGTCAGTGACTAAGTTAGATTGTTGTTGAATGTTCCTTTCTGTATGTATCAATGGCTGCTTGCCGGGAGATTTTAGAGTGGAATTAGTGAAAGTATTTAGTTGGCTGATGGTCAAAATTCATGGTTGGGTAATTGTACCTGAACTAAAATAGTCACTACATTTTAACAATCATTTAAGTTTTTTACATCAAGGTGTTTAGTTGTATTTTAACTCACTGTAGGAATAATAGTAATGAGAGTGATACAGAGGAATGGTAAGGTTTTAAAATTTTAGCCATTGTTGAGTTTTTATAGCGTGCTTTAGTTTTTACTAGGCTATATATGGTTACAAATTGTCATCTTATCCATTCTTTAAGTTTTATAGTTCTGTGAACTGGAAAATATCCTGCATCAAAATTGTGGAAGATGATCGGAACTAACAATATATAATACGGCAGTTAACTGACTTTTCTCATACTCCACTCTATAATAAATTTTGTACACTTCTATATGCATGATGAGATAAGGAACACACCTCCCTGGGAATGTTTTACTTGACTTCACTCCATTAGATTAATATTTTTGAATTGAATATAATAACTACATCTACACTATAAAACCTTCAATATCCATAACCAGCTTTTTTATGTATCCAATTTCTTACCTGAATGGCTGTCATAAATAAGGTTTAGTCGCATTTTGACCTTTAATGTTCGAGGTCATCATTTATGATGTTTTAGATTGAAAAATCTTAATATGACTGTCTATGGTTCACAAGATTGTCAGTACAATCTGGTTTCAGTACAAACTGTTACAACAATCAAAGTAATTCATTGCAAGTGGTATTTGATTGAGGTAGGATTGGTTTTGTCTAACTTGTACCTGTTTATTGACTTATAATATACCCTACCACCTTTGATGTTAAATGCAATCTTCAGAGTTAAACCAGGTGTAAATGATCTACCTTGACGTTTTGTGAAGTAAACTGACAATATTCTGTAGTTTTTCTATCAACACTCCTCAATTTTTGTTTATGATTGATATGTCTTGTGAGTAAGCTTCCAAATTGGTTTTTTTTTTCATTGACCCAATATTTTGTGATTTTGGTTTAAAATTTCTGTGAAAAATATGTGTCAAAAAAAACAAGACATGGTTACAATTAGCAAGGTGAACTTTCAAAAGTTGGAAAGCATAGTTGCATAGTGGTAGTAAGTGTTAAGGTCAGACTAGTATTTAGTGAAATATATTTACCCATTATTTTGAATGAGTAATAAGCAGACATATTCAATCATTCTTTCCTTCACTTTCAATGAAATAACATAAGTTCTGTTTGGTAGACTTGGAACCAAACCAACATTTTCTTTGTTTCTTGATTGAAAACTCTTGAAACTGATTGTGGTAAAATTCTCCAGAGATATTATTCATTTATTGGTAAATAGTTTAACAGTTACATCATTATCAACTTACCTCATGACTTCACATGATATACTTAGATATCTCTATTCTGTTTGTTTTCAAATTAGACAGTTTTTATTCTAGATAAGTGGTTAGAGAGTTTCAAACTAAACAATTTTATTACCAGACTACTATTTCCTTCTCACTAACTTGACCTAACAGAAGTAACATATATTCTAATACTTGTACAAATTCAGTTGCTGTCCAATTTTAGTAGATGAAACTATTGGGAGCAAAAATTCGAAGATAATGTCCTTTGAAATTCCTTTCTTACAATATTAATTTGGTACCTTTCTACATCTCTGAATATTTTGTGTAGAAAATGACCTTTTAAGAGACAATTTCAAAATTTATTACTTTCTTGCAAATGGTAAAGCATTGTATGGTTGTAGAGATTCTGTCTATCATACTAGTTATCACAGACAGTTATGGCTTATAAAATAAGCAGGGAAAATATTTGATGTGAAAAACGTTGAAGGTAATTATAAATGTCAGAAATGACCTGAAGAGATTGTTTGGTTCAATACAAGTCTGGACAATAAAATATCAGTTGGTATTAGAAAGAATAATTGAATTTTTGATTACATTCAGACTAAGAATAGTTTTATACCTACTTATTAATAAGTGTGTCTGGATAGAAGTGTCAATTTTGACAAACGCTAAAGTAGAAGTAATGGAGGTAGAAAAAAATTATGACACGTCTGGTTTGAAGTGTGGAAAATAATATTTACTTGCTTCAATAATTCTGTTTTTCTTTGTCTGGTTTGTTAACACACTTTACTTACGTTTTTAAAAAACAAAACTGTTGGAAATATTTCTAATGAGGTTGACATTAAATGTTACAAAAATGCTTTTAGCCCACTCACCTTCTAGCAGGTGGATGTGAAATGGTTTTTTCAGAGAGAATTTTTAACTTAAGCCAGGTCCTCGTAGGACCTCTTGTCTGTCTTGTGTGTTGATCTCTGGTTTATCAGTAAGATCTGAATATGTATCATTACTATTAATCATTATTCAGAATTGAGAAATGTTTTGGTCTTGAATTTTTTATAATTATGTTTTAAAAAAACATTAGTTGATATAGAATAAAATGTAAGTGATATGATATTATTGATAACTAGTTTCATTTAGACCATTGATTGATAATATAACTGATCTGATCTCAGCTGTATTTTGTAATGTATCTTGTATCAAATCTCAGATTATGTCATGTATCTCTTTAATGTCATGTATCTGATATCATGTAGATCTTGATGTAATGACTAATTGCTCTATAGCTGCTGAATATTATCAGTAGGATATAAACCATTAATAGTACAATATCCCTCTTACACTTAGCAACTGCAATAGTTTTTTCATTATAACTATGGATCATTAGTGTGTATATGATTCAGAAATTTCTTTGTCTCAAAAAATGACACATGTTGTATGTATTATACTCTGTGAAGTTAATGTAATGAAAGTATTCATGATACCTTGAAATATAGCAACCATTCATGATATTTGGTTGCAACACAACCTGTACAATCCTTGCTTTTACTGGTTATAGCAGAAGTATATGAATGGAACCAGTATAGTATTGAATTGAGTAACTTTCTAAAGTTATCAACTGAGCCTGTAGTTTTAGCAGTATAAATGAAGTCAGTAACATATTGAATTCAGTTAAATAATAAACGGGTATTATATATTTTACTACACCTCTGAGGCAGAAAGATATGAAATATTGAACAAAAGACATATTGTTTGAAAATTGTAATGGTGGCTTATAGTTTTTATGTTCAAATTCTCCTTCACTTCCCTTTTCATTCATTAAAATTCCAACAGTTCAGGGAACGATAACAACTTTTATCACTGAAATTCAATATCCAACTAATTTGTGATATTTTATGACATCAGTATGGTTTCGTGAAGATAAAAAGGCAGTATTTTGCAGCTTTTATAAATGACAGCACTTTTATACAATATTATTTTGTAAGTTGAAAGTAATGAAAATACCCAAATCACATCTGTGTATTCTCTGGAAGGAACAGCAAGGAAAATCATATGACAGAATGGCATCCTATGAAACTGGAAAATGTGAAGCAACATTTTGAAATTATCTGTGTCAGTGTACCTAGAGTATTGTGGTTTATAAAGGATAATGTGGTTTAAGTATCATAATCTTTTTTGACACTTTGAAATATAGCTTGCATTCTTTTCATACAAAATGAAAACTGTCTTAGTGTAAATCCTTTAAAGATAATATATATTAAAATATCTTTAACAATAACAGTTGTTGTAGTTATATGATAAATAGTTGAAATATTAATGATAGAGTTGTTCTTCTCGTTAACCTGTGGAATTCCTAACATACCTTCTGCTATAATAGTCTGGTGTCTGGTTAATACCTGTACTCATTAAAATATACAACAGACCACAGGCACTTATAATGACAGATTGTAACATCTTCATATGCTGAGTCATTCTAGCATTCAACAGCAATTAATTGCCTTATCATTCTTTCATCCACGGAGCTAAAGAAAATGTTCCTTTTTTGATTGAGATGAAATTATCACTTAATTGAGAGATACAACAGATATAAACTTTTATGCACATAAAATACTACAACCAGTACAACAATTAACACAACAGTGGTTTGATAGATTTAATTCACAATCCAAAGTTATGACATTACAAAAACTTTGCTATTCTGTGCTGCAGTTAACGAAATAATTATATGCACCTAAACTACACCTGGATTAAAATATACACCTGAATACATACTTAGAAGATATTAAAATCATTTATTAGCTAATAAATAATGGTGGAACTATTTCTGAATCTAATCTTGTGTTAGTAATTGTTCTATAGACAGGATGTTTATCATAAATCTTAACAATGTTTATTCTTTCTATTTTAGATGTGGAACTTGTACGAAATATGAAGATGGATGTAACAGGTATGGAGTTATGTCCAGCCTGTCGTCTTCCGTTTGATTCTGGTAAAAAACGTAAACTAATTGATGCTTGTGGTCATGAGAGATGTTATAGCTGTATGTTTACTAGTGAAATCTGTCCTCTATGTCGTAAGTTGAAGCTTTCTATCTTAGAAATACACCCGCATGTTCTGCAAATCAATCATGATTGGTAAAGATCATATTGTAATTGATGCAGTAAGCTTACAGGTGTCGACTGCCCCTGATGACTGGAAACACCATCAACTTCAGATATGGCTGTATATTAGAGTGCCACTTTAATTCTTATATTGTATTTTCTTAATATATCTATAGGAAATATCTTCAAAGTTTTCTAAGAATGGAAAGAAATGACAAAAGATATAAAACTAGGCTACCTTAGAATTACAATAATAATCTGATTATACAAATTTATCATCATAGAGAGGAAAGGAAACATCATATTTCTGGCTTTGGGCATAATTTAGAATAATGATCAAATCTTGAAATAAATAACTTTTTCGTTTAGATTATCCACAACCTCAATACAATGGAGGCTTGCAAGATCCATCCATGTTTACACCACATCGACCAAAATTAAAAACTAACGGCCATTTTACAACCTTCATGCAATCTCGCCAAGATTCATCGGATTCTATCAGCTTGAAAAGTCAGCCATATTCCAGTTCTACTACACCTATACCTTGTCAAAATTCAGGTAAGCTTTTTACATTTACTAATTTAAGTGTATATTAAAAGTCTAAGCAGACACAGTTTACAATATGGATAAAATACTGCAGGGCTTCATTTCTGACTGCATCTGGATGGATTTTATCAAGCTTGTGCTCAAATAATGATTTCTTATACAGTATTTTAATAAAACCAGATGAAACATAGCCTACATAAGGCACACATGCAAAATATTTGAAATAAACTTTAGAAGTTTGTGTCTCTTCATTTGAGAATCAGGCAGCGTATTCTAGAAAAGATTTTGGTGCTAAGATATCATAAGGTCTTAACTTCTATCACTTTCTAGGATATCCTAGGGTTAAGGTCGTTTCAAGATTACATTATTTCTTAAATTTATCTTATTTCAAGTAATCTAATATTTGGATGTACCAACAACAATGTACTTACAACATTCTTCAGATACAAATTAATCCACTAGAATATCTAGATACAGTTCAATAAGACATTCTTATTGTGATCTCAGAATATGTGACAAGACACAGGCTTCACTTTCAACAATTGCCTGTCAAAAGAAATTCCTTCTGTAGTTTTATGAGATTTTGAAGTGCTTCTATTCTCATGTATTCGTTTCAAATCTGTGTCTTTGTACTTTTATTACCTTCTTCAGCTTAGTTTCTGAAGATTCAATCTCATTTTTTGTGATGGTTTGATCACAGCAGTAAAGTTATGTGTATGTTTAAAGACATTTTATCTTTTTAATGGTCAATTGTTGGAAAGAATTGTTAAAAACTAAAGCTTTTGAAAGCTGTTTGAATACTTCTGGAAATACTTTGTGTATCTTTAAGGATGAAGTTTTTATTGGTGAAGAAATAAGATTAGCGCAGAATCTATTTGAAGTATCCGGATTAAAATGCAATTTATTTAAAATGATTTTTATGGGAGGAATTTCCTGCAAGTTGACATTAAAACCAGACGTGTCAAGTAGACTGGGTTTTTGAGTGACAGAATTGCATTAAGTGTTTTCATCTATATCGATTTGAAAAGTCTGCAGGATTTACTCCTCACAAAATCACAATTTAATCAAATCCTTCTTAAAGGGAATGGTTGCTTGCAGAATTCTTAATGTTTTAGAGCCTCATTTCAGACATCTTAACCATTCAGTAAAAGTACATCAGCACACAATTCTGACTCAAATATGTCCACAAAACTAATGAAGTAAAATGAAAATAGATCTTATAGTAATGATTGGTTACAATTTTGTGGAATTTAAAGTGAGTTTTCAGAATAGAATTAGAGGAGATAAGCATCATTGGAACATCTCCATGTATGATGAAAACTGTCAGAAAACCATGTACCATTCTTAAGATTCTTGATAGCAATTTTTCAATTCAAGGTTTCTTCCAGTGATAAAACCAATCATGTTAAATTTATAAAGAATATATTATGATTCACTGAAGTATCAAATATTTTCTTGTCTCCCTGTGTATTTAACTTGAAAATCTTGCTGTCTGATTGAAGCTGATAAATAACGTGTTGAGGCTGCATGCTAGCAATTGTTAATTACAAAACACGTCTTGAGTGACTGAATCTCAACTGATTAATTAAGTGAAGGAGTTAGGGTGGTTCTGTGGTCAGATTTCTGGCCTCCAGTCTTCAGGAATTTCAATGTTATGAAGAAACTAGACCTTCCTCTATTAATCACTCTATTCTTCTATCTGCTTCCAGCTGTTTCCAGCCTTCAGCTATTTCTTTACAATTGAAATGGAATAAAAAAAAATGTTAACAAGCACTGGATTAATTTGTGATGTGAAAATTAAAAGGGAAGTTTCAATAATTGTTGTTGTATCTTGACAATACCATTCCTTTAAGCTATAATTCTGAAAATGATAATAAAAATTTTCATTGACTTGTCAAATCTATTGAATGATCTTATTTCCAAAAAAGGAAATCAGAAAGCAAGCTATATTTTATCTAATATTATATAATAGACAAAAATATCTGAAACGTCTAAATCAATTGAAATATCTTAAAGTTAGTGGCAATTAGACTTGATTTATAAAACACACCCAGCTTGAGAATAGTGTTTATTATGAGGTGGTATAGTCAATAATTAAAGGGCCCTATCCCTTTAATTGGCTTTAATAACTTTTAATACATTCAAACCAATAGTTAGGTGTAAAGGAAATGGTTGTCACTAGATGCGACCTGTTGCGTGACAATCGAAAATATGACTTGTTAAACGTAAGTGGTTAAAATGATATTTTAATGTATTGAAAGGTTTTAGAATTCTAGATAGTGAAAGCCATATTGATTGGTAGTCTATGGTATTGTACCATTATTAAATTGTCATAGCATTTCCTCTTGTCATGCTACTATTCTTGATGCACTGTTTCCGAACTTAGAAAAGGAAATAATGTACTTAAATTTTGACGTATACAGTCTGGAAAACATGAATTTTTAACAATAGATTTTAATATCTCTGTCAAATACTCACAAATAGTTGCAGTAGTTATATATTTTGTGCGGAAAGTGTGATAAGTATGTATGGTATATAACGAAGCACTTGCCATTGTCACAGATGATAGTCTCACTCAAAGTTTGTTAAACTTGTTTTGAATTCCATCAAAATCTTACTTTAGTTATTTTTTTACTCTGGTTTATTCAGAAATTGTTTTTGTTTACATGGTATTTTCTTTTGCAAAAAAAAAAAATATTTAATGCTTGTAAAAAAAAAAAAAAGAATCAGTTTCTCTTGTAATTCCATGGTTTTGTTGAATTTCCATTACCCGATTGTTTATTCAGTGAACTTATAAAAATATTCAAGTTGATGGCAAGTCTAATATTGTGTAGAAACCACTTAATCCATGAATAAATGTCTATCATAGCCTCTAGAACTTCTATCATCTTAGTAGATGCGGAACTGAATAGACCTCACCATTCTATTGCTACTTAGCTTCCAGATATTTGGATACAGTGCTCTTGTTTTGTTTTGTGCCATAGTGAAGTGGTCATTTGTATCGGTCAAGAGAAGGGAATCAGGCTTGTTTTATACCAGGTTGACCTTATTTGACCTTTAATCAATAGAGATTGTGATTCTAAGAGAGGAAATTTGAACTGGACTACATTTGGCTATGTGGTGTTATGTTTTCATTGACTTGTCAAATCTATTTAATGATCTTATTTCAATTATTGAGGTTTTGTCTGAGCCTGATTTCCATGTATAATTTAGGTAGACTGGTATATATTTAACAGATTAGGTTTGTTGATCAGTTTGTTCATGTCTGTCTGAACAATTTAAATGTATGATTTAGATTCTTCACAATATCATTATTCAAATTAAATTGAGAAAAATTCCTATGGTCAGATCTGCTGTAAACTATAGTAGCCTATATGGTCAGTGTTTTACAGGCAAAGAGGGGCTAAAAGCAAAATGTTGGTAAATAATATCCAGGATTTATAAATGTGATTTATTTCAACTCATTGAAATGTCAATATCTTTTGTTTGAGCCAATTTTCAATACATCTGTCACAATGATCTTTTCTTGAAACTTTAGAAATTAGCTTTTTATTCTCATTTTACTCGTCTCCATTATAGAATATCACCTTGAACCAGTGGTATGGTATATTTGATCTATGACAAGGGGATATTTTAGTTAAGACCCAGATGAATAGACAGATAGAATATAACGAGTTTTCATATAAAACTCAAATAAAGAACTCCAAGTATCTCTATTGTATCTTTTTTATGAATTGGTTAAGTTAAAACTGTCCTATATTTAATATCTAGGGTCTAGTATATCAGCAGTATATCGGTCACTCTTATAAAATAGGTAAATTAAACTCTCAAGTATACTTGATTGGTAAGTACTCTTACATTTTTAATATAGACCACTTATGTTTTCAGATATAATTCAAGCTAACTTACTCTATATAATATTAAAAATCTCACTAATTATGGTCGATTTGATGTAAAAATGTAAAAAAGAATTTCAAGTTGACCTGCTTCAATAGACTTTAATGGATGGATGTTGACCATAGTTTATTTATCTAGTTTCTTGAACTTTGTATATAACTCAGCATCTTCTTTTCGAGTGTCCATGTTACTATTTTGTTGATTTTGTTGTATTGTTTACTTTCGAGTCTATCTGCAGTTACATTCCCTTTGCTTACAGATTTTATTTTTGATCACCATTGATTTGATGGATTTGAATGAAGTTTGAAATTTTTTTTTTTTTTTATATTAATTGGTAAGAAAGAAAGACTATTTCATTATACCACTGCTTAATAAAGAAAAACAAGAATGGTGTCTACTTCATTGACATTTCTCCTTTACATTCACTTGACACCGACATATACTGATAACAACATCAATCCTTTATTATTTTTATTTTACACAAATTAAATTATACAAGAAATTTCAATTTTTTTCCCCGCTAATCCTTATTTTTTTTAT